AACACACGGCAACAACAATACTACAGCGAGAATCAAAGTTACGCTTTCTTTCTTTGCAGGGACATTTGGGCGGTGTTATGCAAATCTTCCCACATAGTGACGTAGACATGTGGGGGCGTGTTTAAACAAGACGTTTTAGGTAGGCGTGGATGACTCTTAACTTTTATAAAGAATATCTTTTTGTATTTGAGACTTTAGTCTTTGCAACTTTACAGATCTTCTTTATGCACCAACAGCTTGTAACACTTCAAAGAGAAAGGAAAAAATGAAAATCGCATCATATGACCCCTTTAAATAAATTCTGATGCATTTAACTGAATGCATTTTAAAATAACGGACTACAGACAGGAAGCAGTGTAAAATAACAGTGTTTTTTTAAACACTATTATTAAGGACCCACACAAAGCCCAGTGTGTTTCTGTGTGTGTGCTTGTGAGACTTTAAGTCAAGTTCATACCTCCTGCTTCACTACATAGAGTCTTTTGGAGGGAGTAAAGGGCAGTTCTTTAATGGAGTTCTCCTCAACTACCAAGTGAGTGCACCTTTCATCACCCACCGCCTGGAACCGTCCACCTGGACAAAACAAGCAGTACACGCTCCTTTAAAAATCCCCCTCAAGCAGAAGTCAGGGGTCATTTGCTTGAACAGAGAAGGTCTAGCAATAAAATACAGAAGTATATCCTGGGGTCAACATCTCAGACGAATAAGAGTGAAAGGTTTTGGTTAATCGAGAAATATTTCAAAGCATGAAATGTTTCAGACTTCTTTCAGAAAGGACACTGATACATGAGAGTAACAGTTCAATACCATGTTTCTGCGTCCTCTCCTCCATGTTGGTTCTCTCCTCTTCAGAGAAGCCCAGAAAGCTCAGCACGCAATCCTGGAATGGAGGGACTTTAAACTCGGTGCGGAACTCCTCGTTGCCTGCATGGAAATTACTAAAGCAAAATAAAAAGAATTATCAGACACACCACAAGACCAAAATATGCTATACAAAAAAAAAATAAAAAAATCTGAACATAGTTTGGGAAGTTTCTGAAGACAATTCTAACTAAAAAAAAGTTGAGCAGTGTAATTTTTTTTTGTCACAATTCTATTGGTGCAACTTGACATGCGGCACAGACGCAACACAACTAACCTTTAAAGTAAAATTCATTTTACTTCTACAATAACATACTATTTAGCATCAGATCATTTTTTACAAATTTAAACGTAAAAAGCAGCCATTTTGTTAAATCTAAAGACAGCTTCATGTTTACAGATGCATTTATACTTTATATAGCGTAATATTATTATTAATTAATTAGCCAATTTTATTATTAGTTAATATTTGCATTCATAATATTAAGATGTGCTGTTTGCAAATTAAATTATTGGATAAATTAAATCATTACTGTATTTAAGTAACAGCAAATTATTGAAAATACTAATTTTGTATAACAATTATTTTCTCTAATGATGTTCGATGCACAAACATAACTTTAATGGCTCTAAAAAATGAATTTTGTAAAACTTATGGTGGACCCCCAAGAAAAATGGTTCCCAAACTTTTTGACTCCAACACCCGCCTTTGCCCAAGACAATATTGACAATATTAGTGCTGCTAATATGTACCTTTAGTACATTTTTTGTAATAAAAATAAACTAAAAAAGGATGTCTGTTAAGATCATGTTAATACAACTAAATTTCAATTTAAATCATTTTAAGACTTATTGAGGCCCCTATGGAAGTCAGATCCCATTTTAAAAGCCCTGGCAAAAAACCATAACCAAATAGATAGCTGGCTTTTTCAGGGTTTCTGCAAGTTTTATGAAGGCAAATTTAAGATTTTAAGAACTTTGTAAGAGCAAGTAAAGAAAATTTAAGAAATAAATTGAAGGGAACATTATACGTCATTATGTTCTCTAAATGTAAATGTCACCGTGAACTGTATATTAACAACATAAGTTTGAAAATACAACTTCCAGCTGATCTCCATTACTTTTTAATACATGCTTTAGGCTTGAATACCTCTGTTACCAACCACTAGAATTAGAAAATATCTTGCTGTACTTACTGATCACATAAAAAAAAAAAAGATTCTTAAATCAAGATCAATTTAAGTCTTCTTTTCTGTCAAAATGCGAGTTTGATGAAAAAGATCAAACATTTATTTGAGAAAAACAACTTAATTAAAAGGGAAAATACGTTTACACATTCCATTTACAGATATATGCTCATCAAAAACTCAATTTTGTTCAGTTTCTCAGAAAACAAGACTTCATATCTTCATTTTGCTTCTCAAGTAAATGTATCTTGATTTAAAGACATTTAGATATTTGTATTGGAAAACAAGACAAATACTGATGAAGACATTATTAGTTTTTTATTATTTAAATTTTTTAGCAATTCAAGACTTTCTGCTCTGATTTAAGACCTTTTAAAGGCCTTCATTTGTGAACAGGTGAATTAAGACTTTTTAAGACCTGCAGAAACTCTGTTGTTGGTCAACAATAACCAGTAGCCTGTGCAACGAAGGTAACATCGTTCAAAAGGGAGCCATTTCAGAGGAAGAGCAAATTGCATTTTGCCGAAAGATTACACATTTTTCCCCCTACGGAATAGCGTGCACTGATGCACCATGGACAATAACACCAGAAACAAGGAGAGTACAAGGTCAATTTTGATTTCGAATTGACTTTAAGTCTGTCTCCATTAAGTCTGGTGAGCGCAGAGGGGATGAGAATGAAAGAAAAATACCTTCAGTCAACATCCAGCCAACGGTGGCAGGTCATTAATGTGAAAGGTCAGGTTCAGTGTTCAATACATGTGTGGAAAATGTCAGAACCCGAGTGCAGCGGAAACCGTTTTTAATATGGAAGCGGGGAGGCGTGCGCACCAGCGGCTGGACATTACAGCCTCATCATTCACACTTTTTACTCCTCTACACTCACACAGTGAGGGGGATGGATGCAAGGGGTAGCTTTATGCCTCACACACACAATCTTACATGTCATCTCTGTGCTCCCATGCCTTGTGTATCCACTCAGGGGTGAGGATGGGTGTGCCCATGCAGACTGCCAGCTAAAAAGAAAAAGAGAGAAAAAGCAGTGAATAGCATCTGGAGGGAAGAGATCCTCTCACCAAAACCTGGTACATGCATTATGCATGAGACTAATGAAGGATTCAGCCCAATTCAGCACGCTGTGAGGAGAGATGCATGAGAACTGTTTTAATCAAACCCTCTCTAAATAACACCAACACGTCAGCTGCAGACAGTAGACCCTGTTACGGAGAGCACACCTGGGGTTGGAGGAACCACCAGGAAATAGCCATCACTGACTAAAAGACAAAAGACTCTTAATCTAGACTGATTTTTAAGAATTAATATATTATTAATGAGAAAATAAAGGTCAATCATTTAACAGTTTTGGTGACTGACTTTCTTCAAACACAAAAGACTACAAAGGTTTCTGGGATTCGAAAGTGAGATGGAATTTAACCAAACTCTACTCTTCATTGCATGCCAATATTACAGAAAAAAAAATTGAAAAAATTGAGAAAATGTCTATAGACTATGTATTAAGAATTTTTCTATTTCATTAATATATTTGAAAATGTAATGTATTCCTGTGAATTTTCAGTATCAGTACTCTAGTCTTCAGTGTCACATGATCCTTCAGAAATCTGTTTAATATGCTGATTTACTACTCAAGAAACATTTCTTATTATCTACGCTGAAAACAGTGGTGCTGCTTAATATTTTTAAGCCATGAATAGGGATATGCCGGTATCAAATTTTCATGTTGCGATTAATTGCTAATGCTTTTATCACGGTATTCGGTATTATCACGATATTGAAATTTAGTTTTTTTTTTAAAGTGCCGTCATAATACAGTATAACAGGTTTAATAACTTTTTTCTTATAACAAAAATAACTGAACATTTAAATGCAATAAAGCAATACAGAAAAATGTATAAAGTCAAAAGTTTTACACAGATTAAAGTGCAAAAGAACTATAAAGACCAATAGGTATCACTTTACAATAAGACCTCATTAGTTAACCTTAGTTAATGCATTAACATTCACAATGAGCAATAGCAACATTTGCTACAGAAGTTATTAATCCTTGTTTAAAAAATACAAGTCTTAGTTCATGTTAGCTCATTAAATAACACAGTTGCAACTTTAGATTTTAACAACCTGTTATTAAATATTGGAATACCAAAGATTAATGAATGTTCAGAAGAATTTTTAATTGGCAGTTTATGTTAA